CTGGGATTCCTCTTGGATATCCTGTTGTTGCCCTGTGCTGTGGAAATCCTGCGGCTTTGGAACTGCAGGACTGGTCCATTATGTGCTCCAGTAGATCACAGATTGGATGTTGGGGTGGACCAACATATAACCCTGGTCCTGAGTCTGGGTAGTTCCAGGGTTGGTCAGCCTACCAGCTCTCCCTTTTCCTCGTCACCAGGGTGAGCTCTCCTGCATGACTCTGGCTAGTTCACCCCTTGCAGCAATGAGCAAGGGGCAGGGCCAGTTCTCCTGCTTTCATGTCCTCAGGGTTGGCTCTCCCACATCTATACCTTCAGGGCCAGCTCTACTGTGATGCTCAGGCATGACATAGGGGCCCCTCTCCTAAGTGCTGCAGCAGATGAGGGGCAGGAACAGCTCTCCTGCTCTTATGACCTCAGGATCAGCTCTACCACCTGCCTCAGGTGTTGATGGGCATGGAGGCAGTGGAAATTTTTCCCTATCCCAGGTTGGCACATGACAGATGAGTAATCATGATAAATCTCCCATGCTCACAACATCGGGGCAGCCTCACTCACACCTTCCTGCCACCAACTGCAACACTTGGGAGAGCAGGCCCTGCATCTCACATGGACAGTACGGTAGAACTAACCCCATTGGCAGAGGTGCAGGTGATCCAGTCCTGAGGTTGTGAGCATGGGAGAGCAGGCTCCATTACTTATCTGCCATGTGGCAGCATGGGCAGGGAGAGATGCCCTCTTCACCCATCAACACCTGAGGTAGGTGGGAAAGCTGGTCATAAGGAGGATAGAGTTGCCCAGTTCCCCACTAGCTGCAACTCTCGGGAGAGCAGGCTCTACATTTCACCTGGGCAGCATAATTAAGCCAGTCCCATTGGTGGAGGTGTGGGTGATCCAGTCCTAAAGTTGTGATCATGGAAGAACTGTCCCCATTAGTCATTTTTCTTTTTATGCAGGATTGCTTTGGCTGATTCCATATGAATTCTAGGATTTTTTTCCCATTTGTTTGGTGAATATGGCATTTTGATTGGGAGTGCACTGAACCTGTAAGTTATTTTGGCAGAATGGTCATTTTCACAATAATATTCTCCTAACACATGAGCATGGAAGGTGCTTTAATTTTTTAGTGTTTTCCTCAGTCCCTTTCTTTAGATATTTAAAGTTCTCATTGTAGAGGTCTTTATCTTCCTCGGTTGGTTAAGTTCTGGACATTTTTTTGAGATTTGTGAGTAGAAATGTGTTCATGATCTTTTTTTTCAATGTGCTTGCTATTGATATATGGAATTGTTACTGATTTTTTAAAGTTATTCTCCACTTTGCTGAAATTATTGATCATTTCTAGTGTTCTGGTGTAGTTTTTGAAATCTCTCATGTATAATATCGTGTCATCTGCAAATGGGGCTAATTCAACCTCTTTGACTTTTTGTATTCCTTTAATTTCCTTCTCTTATTTTTTATTGTTCCAGCTAATGTTCTGAGCACTATACTGCAGAGTCATGGAGACAGTGGACAACCCTGCCATATTTCTGATTTTAATGCAATTTTCTTTGAACCCCTCTCCATTTTGAATAATGTTGTCTGTGGGTCTGTCATCTACAACTTTTATTATGTTGAGATTTGTTTCCTCAAGTTCTACTTTCTCTAAGACTTTTATCATGAAGACATGTTGGATTTTGTCAAAGGTTTTTTCTTCTTCTATTGAGATGATCATATGAATTTTGTTTTTAGGTTCATTTATATGATTTTTTACATTTATTGGTTTGCCTGTGTTGAACTAGCCCTGCATCTCTGGGCTAAAGCTAACTTGGTCATTATGGGTAATCATTTTGATATGTGCCTAAGTATACGTAGCAAGCTTTGTATTGAAGATTTTTGCATCTGTGTTTAGCAGGGCTATTGGCCTGTAATGTGTGTGTGTGTGCATGCGTGTGAGCTCGTGTCTTTACCTCGTTTTCTATTAAATAATGTTGGCTTTGTAAAAGGAGTTTGGAAGTGTTCCTCTGTCTCTTATCTTTTAAAAACAATGTAATAAGTATTCATCCTAAATCTTTTAAAGTCTTATATTTTTCTGCTGTGAATACATCTGAGTTTGGATGTTTTGGCTTTCTTCCCCTCATGCTTTCAGAAAGCATTTAAAACTGTTTATCATATACTTCAGCCTGTGCTAAGAACACTTGGCCCTTACATTTAATCGCTTCCTGTTCTACTATTACAAACAGTATAATTGTTTCTACTAAATTCCCTTTTATCACAAAATTTAGTGTATGTTGATTTGAAAATATGCTGACTTTTGATAACTGTTTTTATTACTAAGTGCATCCATCACACAAAAGTTTAAAATAGTGCATAGGATGATCAAAACTTCCCTTATATAAAAATAGTCTGTATTGGTTATATAGTATTTTCCCTTCCAAAGAGTTTGTGTACATAGTATATCTCTTTTATGTGTTTGAAGTATACTTTTGAATGTGAATGTGTCTACATATATTGCATGTGAGCATGTATGATTGAATGAATATACATGTGTTTGTGTCTATATTTTTGTAATTCTATATGTACTATGTGAAAACTAGTTTGCATTCTACTGAAGAAGTATCAATATTTTGTGGTAATCCAGGCACTGTGTAGACATTGTGTATACTGTAGTAAACCAGATTGACAATTTCTTCCTTTATGAGCATGATACTCTCATGGGGTAGAAAGAAGGGATGGAACTATGCACATAATACAAAATGTTGTAAGTTGTGATAAGATCTATGAAAGAAACAAATTAGGTCTAACATGGCAAAAATTTACATCTTTGGGGCATGAAAGATCCCAGTAAGTGCCATTTAGGTAGAGAGCTAAAGGGGAAAAGCATGGAGCCAGTGCTGGGTAGAGACACAATAACAGCAATAGGAGCTCTTAGCCAATTTCCCTGGTGAACGTAGTTTCAAATACCTCAATAAACTACTTGTAAGCTGAATACAGGCATATATTATCACAAAGATCACCCTCAAGACCAAGTTGGCTTTATCCCACAGACTCGTGATTGGTTCAACATATGAAAGTTAATAATGTAATGAATCATATACATAGACTTAAAGATAAAAATCACATGATCATCTCAATAGGTGCAGAAAAGGCCTTTGACAAAGTCCAGTGTGCCTTCATGATAGTGAGAAAAGAATGTGTAGACATTCTCAAAAAATGAAAAGAAGATGTGTGTCTTGCACAAAGTGATGTGTGACTGAAAGGCATAGGCTATGATTTGGATGTCAGCCTAAGCACCATGGAAAGCCACTAAAGGTATTAAGTACGACTTGACAGGGAACAGTTTTGTTGGGTGGAGAATGGCTTGACAGTATTCTAGGAAAGCAGTTAAGAAGCTATTATAGACTGGATGAGGTGGCACATACTTGTAATATCCACCCCAGGAGGGAGGCAAAGGCAGGGAAATCATGAGTTTGGAGGTCTGCCTGGGATACAAAGCTAGACTCTTTCAAATTAAATAAGTAAGTACTGTAGTGATCTAAACAAAAGACACATTCACTTGAATTGATGTGTTGGAAATAGAAATAGTAAAGGATAGCTAGGTTAGAAAAATATTTTGTAGGGTTGGGGATATAGCTCAGTCATAGAATGCTTGCATAGCACGTGCAAGGTCCTAGGTTCTATCTCTAGCATTTCAAATGGCATTTTGGAGGAAACACTAGCAAAAAATTCTGTTTATTGGACTTAAATGTGAGTTAAAGAGAGATCAGGACTGATTCTTTAGTTTCTGGTTTGACTGACTGTTGAGTGGTGATTTCATTTCTTGATGAAGTTTGGGGGAGAAACAGGAATAATTGTGGATATAAGTGTGATTGCAGTGGACATAGCTCTCTACCACATACTTGTCATAAATGTGTGTGTGTCCATTTTAATGTTTTTATGTTTATAACTTGTTTGTGTCGGGTATGTGCACACATGTTTATATATTTCATCTAATTGTTTTCTAAAACAAATGAAGCGGGGGGCACACATGTTTATATATTTCATCTAATTGTTTTCTAAAACAAATGAAGCCATGTATACTTCTACCTATTATACTTTGCAAATATTGAACATTTATTTTTATCTATTTGTAATTTGATAAAAGAAAATTGTATTTTCTTTCAGTTTTGTTTATATGTATATTTCGGTTTTGATGGGATTGAATGAAACAATAGATTTATTATTATTGTGAGGTATATTTATGCTATGGCATCTATGTAGAGGTCAAGTTACAACTTTGTGGAGTTAGTTCTCTCCTTGGAACTTTATGTGGGTCTTGAGGGTTGAATTCAGGTAGTCAGGTTTGTGCTGCACTTGCCTTTATGTCCTGAGCCATCTCACTGGCCATGGCTTGAATGTATTGAAAATTAAAAAGTGCTCTGCTCATCATTTTTATGTTATCTTCTGCAAGAAGCAACTACTGTGGGCAAGTCCTGTGGATATATACATTGAGTATCTGTGACCAAAAATCATTGGGTCCAGGAGTGTTTGGGATTTTTGATAAAAATTGGAATATTTGAATTCGTATGATGAAATATCTTAAATGGGCCCCCAGTTTAAACACAAAGTCTGTTTACATTTCTTAAACCCCTTATGCTGATAACTAAAAGATTTGATGAAATATTTTTATTGTGTTTACATTTTTCAACGTGTGCCTGAGATTTATCACATGAGGCCAGGTGTAAAAATTTCCATTTTTGGTATTACATTTGTCCTTGAAGTTTTTCAGTTTTTAGAGTTGATATTTTTGGCTGAGAGATGCCTTAGCAGTTTAGAGAAGAGATGCAGTCAGTTCCTACAGTATGTATTCCTGAGTGGCTTTGTATGCCATCTAGAAAGACCTGGATTTACTATATACTTTCTGAGACCGAATGCAGGTGAAGAATTAAACCTAACATGGGAATACTTATGTGTATACCTGCTTGTGCCACCAGGACTGCTCTTAACAGTGTACTCGGTAAACATTCTGAATTTCTTCCATGACATCATGGTTCCTTTACTTGACCAGTTAGGGGTGCTGGTGATAGATAACGGTCAGTTTCTAAAGGTGATTTTTGTCTGTCTCCCTTAGGTCTTGGCCTTTCTTCACAGCCTCTTCATTTCCAACAGCTTGACTGTGGAGCTCACACAGGATTTCCTCCCCTACAAACAGCAGCTGCAGCTTAGTTTGCAGAATGTGAGTTGCATGTGGATATCTTCACCTGGCTTTCCAGTAGGATTTGAGCCCCAGTGGTCTTAACTTTGGAACTACAGGTTATTGTACCACAGGCAATTTGTCAGGATGATGTGGTGTAGAGTCCAAACATGTTAACATAGTGGTGTGTTCTTGCTTTTTCGGGTTTTACTCTTCCTCTCTTTGAGGCTTCCTGCTCTTCAACCCTACCCTCTATTCAGGAATGCCTCTCTAAGCACTGGTATTTTACTGTATCTTTCACAGATCAGAATTGAGCTGTAGGCTTATTTAAATATAAGGCTTAGGCCTTAAGCTAATTCAAAAGTCAGTTATGACACGTGTGGGCTTTATCATTATGAATGCCCTTATTTATCTTCTTCCTTCTTTCATCACTTAGTAAACAAATAAATTTTAACGGATTTCTCCATCTTGTTGTACACATTAGTTCTTATAAATGAACACAAATAATGACATTTTATGTATTAGGACATGCGAATTTACTGATTTTTACCACTTAGCCCACATTTGATGAGTATTTATGAATACAATGAAAATATACCCCTATATACCCTATGTAAGACAATGTAGAAGTCTCTGGCACACCAGAAAGAGGCATCAAGGTTTGTCTGTCTTGAGGGATCACATATTTTCTTGGGGTAGAGGCATAACAAAGATAAATCATAATCCCTTATAGTATTTGTTGCTATATGGAATGAAACCAACATTTGTAAAGAAGTATAGAGAGTATAGCAATTGGTAGTCAGAAAAGGTCTCACTAAGATTAGGTGACATTGGAATGGGTGCTACATTGCATAACATTCATAGATGTGTTTTTAAATTCAAAACTGCTGATAAGATGCTTGCTTAGGGTGATTGTGATGTACAGTTTTACCTACTTTTTTCTTTCTGCATCTATTCCTTCCTTCTGGGTCCTCTCCTTTACCTGAACCGGAGAGTACCTATTTTCTGCTGACTTACAAAATCTTTCTACAATCAAGTTGACTCCTGTGCCATGTGTAACTTGACAAATGTGAGCTAATACCAAGCGTTTGCATGTGCACTCATGGCTGACTCATTGTTAGTATTGTTGACAGCTGGGACCAACCAGCGCAGTCCTTATCTTCTTCAGTAACCTAAAGAAGTTGCCATGATAATAAATACTACTGTCTTTGGGAACCTTTTTTGTAGCTTCCCTTATTGTAAAGGAAGATCAGTCTAATCTCAGAATTTTAATTTATGTACTTGAAGCTTGAATTAACCTGTTGGGCAAAGCCTCTTGCTTCTTTTGGCATCTGTTTTTGTTTCAGTCTAGTTCATAACATTGAGCTCTGCTATTATTTTCTAGTCACTACTATTCAGCAGCCTTCTATATGTTTTAGCACATGCCATGAGCAGAGAAATCTCTGTACTCTATCTATGACCTATAAATACTCATTCCCGTTGATGATAATGGTGATGATGATTGTAATGATTTCTTGACAGACAAGAAATCATTTCTCCAGTACCCGAGAAGAGATGGAAGAGCTTAAGAAAAGGATGAAGGAAGCTCCTCAGACATGCAAACTTCCAGGACAGCCAACCATTGAAGGCTATCTCTATACACAGGAGAAATGTGTGTGGGCTTGCAGCATCATCCCCTGGGTTCAAGTTGGCTTGCCACATTACCTTTCTGAATGCTGGGAACCCATGTTGTTTGTAGATCCATACAAGATACAACTCCTGGGAGGGCAGGGTGTGGATAGAAAAATGAAAAAGACAGAAACTTGACGGGGAGTTAGGTTAATGTGTCTCAAGAGTAGTAAGATCTAATTTTTTTCTCCGAGATTGAAGATGAGGAATGTTAATTGTGTATGGTGAACTTGGGTTCCAAAAGGAGTTAGGGCAAAGAAGGCAGAAGGATCATATTTATCACACATACTATGTACAGTATTCTAAAAGCATCATCTCCTTTCATCTTCAATTCCACATTAAGTTCATTTTACACTAGATATCACTGAGGCTTAGAACAGCCACTAGATTTAAGATCAAATTCAGAAGTACCCTATGCCAAAACCGATACTCTTTCCAATGTATCCTGTTCCACCCACCATCTTCAGCGCCTGTACAGGGTAAAGCAGTGAGCAGCATCTTAGTTTTCTTCTCACTTTGTGCTAGTAGGACTCTCCATACACCACAACTTAAACTGCCTACTGTCAAGTAAAATTTCCCCTAGCTGAGAACCTCTGCTATGCACTGTATGGTGCGTCTGTGCCTCTGTTTTCTAACTTGTCAGTTGAGTGAACACTCAGCAAGCATCATTTCTGCCAAGTGCTGTGCAACACATTGAGAGTAGAAACAAAAAGAGGTAACATATCTTTTCTTTTTTTTTTCTCAAAGCAATTCTCAGACTCACAGGAGAGATAGGAAAGTATATTTATGAAACATTTTACACACGCACTTATCTAAGAACTTCTCTGAGGGAGTGGTGTTTGACGTAGAACTTGAATGTTCAGTGAGGGTGTGACAGGTAAAAAGAAAATGGGATAAGGGTTGGTAGAGAACTCCAGGTGTATGTTGCTATATGAATGGAGGCACAGGAGTGTTGGAGAGCATACCTCATGCTTGGCTCTTGGTTTGTCAAGGATGGCCCCTGTTGTCCAATTATTCATTCTTAAATATATGTTGTGTGCAATCCATTTTAAATACATGTTGAGTTTGTAGTACAAGTGATATGGCCATTTAAGTATTGGGAACTGAAAGTAATTCAGTGACACAGGAACATAGAATTGAGGGTGCCCAATGACAACTCCAGAATGGTCAGTTTGATCAAATTATTCGGGGCTTTGAAGGTGGACTAAGTTGTTTGGGGAAAGTAGGTAAGCCATGTGTGATTTACAAGGGAAATGATATCAATGGAAAAGTATTTTAAGGTAATGCTCTAGCAAAATGGTGAAGACAGATTTGATTAGGAATCAGTCAGAAATGGGGGAATTAGAGGAGTCTGTTTGAAATGATTAATGGGTGAGAAAGTAAATTCGTTTTTCATCGGTAATGTTATAAGTATTAGGAAAACAAGACAATGATAAATTCTTTTACCTAATTCATTGCTAAAGAGGTAAGAGAAGTGGAGGTAGCTGAAGGAGAGACATGTAAGGCGTGGTAATGGACACAACTCAGTGGTAGTCAAATGAGTTGTTTCAGGAACGAGGAACACTGGCAGGAGTTTTCAGCTTCTGGATGCATAGGTGTTTCTATTCCCAGGAACTATTTCAGGGAGAGTAGGTTTGAAATAGCCAAGAATGGGTATGGAAAACAGTTGGTGAGGTTCTCTGTGTGTACAGTGGGTAGGTGGGTAGGTAAGATGGAGCACGGGTGAAGGGCAGAGATTGACCTGGGGTTTGTCTGCACAGAGTAAGTAATAGGCTGGGACTATGCATAGTATGTAGACACCTTGGGTTCAATTGCAAGCACTGGAGAAAAAACAAAGAAACAGTAAACATCTTGTGCTTTGTGGACTTGAAACTGTCTGCTAGTTCACTTTTCCTGTCTTTGTAGGGGCTTTGGGGATATCCTGGGTGAAATACTACTGCCAGTATGAGAAAGAGACCAGGACACTCACCATGACACCAACGGAACAGAAGCCAGGTGCTAAGCAGGTCAGTTCTTGATACCGCTGCTTTGTGAGCTCATCTGTGTGACTGCATCTCAGAAAAGAACATATATTGACAAAGTGTCAAATAATCAAGTCTATTACTTTTCAGTAAAACCAGGATTTTACCTGTTCTATTTGGCCTTAGTTTACATGGGCCATGGCTAAGATCAGGACTTTTGTTATTCTTATTTGATTTGGTTTTTGAGAAAGGGTCTTGTTCTGTGACCCAGGCTGGCCTGGAGCACATTGTATAGCCCAAACATGACTTGAGCTTGCAAGTCTCCTGCCTCAGACTCCTGAGTGCTTAGATTAACAGGTGTGTTCCATCATACACCACTCCTACCAGCAGACTTTATGATTATGTCTTTACTTTTTCAGCCTGTTTAGTATTATAGTTGCCTATCGCTTGTACAAAGAACATTTCTAAAACATGGATGATTCTTTTAAGTAGTAAGTTTTAAAAATATAATTTCCAGAACACATTTAGTTATATATATATATATATGTATATATATATATATATATTATAATCTGTTGTCTGAAATTTGAATCATCATCTACACCACATTGAAATCTCTATAAGCAGTTCATGTTTCTTCCTCTCCTCTTCAAGTCCTCTACTACTTTTCAAAATGCCGAGGTAAGTTTACCATGGAGAGGGTAGTTTACATCCCATTGCATGGAAGTTTTGACAGGTAAAAACTGATCTTCACATTGATTATCATCTGCTCTCTTACATGCTGTCAGTGTGAACCTTTTAAATATTCACATATTGTTGGAAGCTTTAAATATATACTTGAAGGCCTGATTTACATAACCAGGAATTTGGAGAAAACTGCCTATTTCTATTAATAGTTTCTGTAGATGACCAGTCCTGTATAGCTTGTACATAGAAAACTAGAGTGGGCTGATTTTGATTGCAGACTGTTGGAAACTACTTTTTGCCTTGGTCTTTAAGCACAGAGTTCCCTATTTTACCTTAAATGTAGGTTCAAGCTGGGGAACTCTCTTAGGTAAATGTGTCAATAGGCTTCAGTAAATTCTTCTTGGGCTATAGCACAGAAATTGTCCTCAGTCAGCATGAACTTGTCTGTTGTATCTGAGTGGCAAGTACTTGTGAGCAATACTAGCTGTAGTCTTTTTTTTTTCCATTTCATGTTAGCGCTTGGGGGTTGTTGATAGGGTTTTGAGTAGCACAGGATGGCTTCCAATTCATTATGATGTAAAGCATGTCCCACCTTACGAAACTTGTACATGACATCCCAAGTGTTAGGATAAGAATGGAATATTGAAGGCTTAATGGAGGGTTGAGTTCTTGTGGTGGAAGCAGAAGTGATTGGCCCAAAAATGTCCAAACACACTGGGTGGAGTACCAGCTAGTCAACCAAAGAGCATCAAGATCTGAAATTATTTAAACATTGAGTTTCATTTATTTTTACATTTTAAACTTTGAGACAGGATCTCACTGTGTAATCTAGGACAGTCTTGAAATTGTCATTCTCCTCACCTCAGAATGTTGGAATTACAGGTGTGCATATACCACTGTGTTTGAATTGGGTATCAGTCTTAGCTCTGTGATCTAGTTACTTTTTGATTTGGGTAAACTGATATTTGCCAATGATGCATAATGTTTTGGATGGCATAGAGAGTAGGACCATAATGCTAGTGTTATTTACTAGATTGTAAAGTTAAGACTTAGAGAGGGAAATTGATTTGCCAGGGTCACGTAGCTAGGAAATGGCATAACTAAGGCAGTACCCTAGATCTTAAGGTTCCTGGTTTAATGCTACTTTTGACTATACCAACTTGCATGACACTCAGCCATTTTACTGCTCAGATTCCCCTCTATGTAAGGGCTATAGTGGGGGAAGTTCGTGTAAAAGCCAATGCAGAACATAATAAACAACCAGTTACTTAAACATACCATGTATAGTATGTGGTTCATTGTGTTAACTAGCTCTTACCTCCCTTTTGGTGTCAATAGAGGAAAACAAGCAATGGAGGGTCATGTGGTTTGTCTGTGGCAGATTTGGTTTCCCAGAGGAAAACAAATGAACCACACTATCCCACATGTGTCAAATATAAAAAATGTTGCTTTGATTAATACAAATTGGCTTATTTTCTCACTTTTTCCCTACCTCTGGGGAGACTGTTTTTTATGATGTTTGTCATCCGGAAGGTGTGCACTGCCTCATCCAGTAGGAAGCTTCTATTCTCAACTTTTCTCACACATCCCACAGATGATTTTAGATAGCCACTTATGCACTTGCAGCTTCCCTTGTCAGAAGCCTCCTGAAATTTTTATTATGTATACTTAATGTCATTTGGGCCATCCATTTCTCCTGCACTGCCCTTAGGTGATGTGTACTGGGCTTCCTATTGAATCTGCCATGCTTGGGAAAGAACACTCCCCTATCCTGCGCATTTTCCCCTGGTCTTAGCCATTCATGCTTCGAACCGTGAGAAGCCAGCTACCATGATATTGCAAGGTTTGAAGGTAAAGGTTCTCAGTGAGTCAACACATTGCTCCCGCCTGCCGTCTTGGGCGATACCATCCAAGTGAGCCTGGGGACAATACAGGAGACAGAAGAAATGTCTGTGCATTTTAAATAAGAGCTTGTTAATTCTTCTTTCATATCAGGGGCCCATGGATTTAACTTTGAAATACTGTGTGAGAAGAAAGACAGAGTCAATAGACAAGAGATTCTGTTTTGATATAGAAACGAATGAAAGGTAAGTTGTGATGCTGTGAATTTATGGGGTCAGTGTGCTCTACCTGTGAGTTTGGCTGAGTCTTGTATTTTCCTCTTACTTCTTGTTGTTGAAAATGAGCCATTTATGTATAGGCCAGTGTTGGTCTTGCCCCTCAGTCTGCCATTCACAAGGGTCCCTGTGAAACTATGTCCAAGGCTTGTTTGTTTGTTTGTTTTTGATTTTGTTTTCTGTATATCCCTCAGCTACATTTACTTCACTGGCTCTGGGCAGAAAGTCTCCCCTAGAACTTAATTTGCTGTCATATATGTAAAAATTTGTTCTTTCTTAATGCTGTGATGCTGACAGAATAACTATGCTTGTTCTTTGAAGATGCTCTTGGTATATCGTAGGAAGTAGATTGACATAATTTTTAAAGGAAGACAGATTGGCCAAAGGGTAGAGGTGGTATTGGGGTGTTTTTCATACTTACTGTAAAATGATGCAAGCTTTTCTTACTTTGAAGATATGTATGTGAACTTAACTAGTTTATTGACCCCAAATATTAGAACCACTGCAAGCAAATTTGGGGCATGATTTTTTTTTCCAAGTCAGGGTTTCTCTATATAACAGTACTGGAATTTGCTCTGTAGACCAGGTTGACTTCAAACTCACACAAATCCACCTGCCTCTGCCTCCCAAGTGTCGGGATTAAAGGTGTGCACCACCGACTGGCAAGGATTTCTATTTATCTATTTATTTATCTTTTTGAGACAGGGTCTCACTATGTAGAGAAGACTGACCTCAAACTTAGAGGATCCTCCTGCCTCTGCCTCAGGAGTGCTAGGACTAAAGGTGTGCACCAACACTCTGGCTTTGGGACATGATTTTCTTGTTTCTCTCCAATGCCTTTTTCTCTCCCCTGAACCCAAACAATTTAATGAAGGATAATTACACCTTATACTTCTTTAAAAATTTAAAATAATTTTTCCCATATAATATATTCTAGTTATGATTCCCACTCCCCCAGCTCATCTCAGATCCTCCCCATCTCTCCACCCATCCAAATCGACACCCTTTCTTGCTCTCTCATTAGAAAGCCAATAGGCATCTAAAAAAGAATAAAATTAGATAAAAATAAAAACCAACTTGAATAGGATACAACAAATGAATAGAAAAACAGAGAACTAAAGAAAAAGCACAAGAAACACATAGACTCAGAGACTCACATTGGCAAACCCAGAAATCTTCTAAAAACACAAAATTGGAAACCGTAATATATAAGCAAAGATATCTTTATGTTTAAAATGACAGCATTTGGCATTATTTTTGTGATGGGCACGCCTTCTGGTTAAGAAGCTGGTCCAAAAGTCAGAGAATCAGCTATGTGATTTATTTCTATCCATTTGTTTCTGTATACCAGGCACTGGGTAATAGAGAGGAATTTAGTAAAATGATCAGATTGCTAGAAAAGACTTTAATAAATTATAGTATCATTGAAAAATCATTAGGGGCTGAGAGCAACAAGGTCAGTTACACCGACAGATTAGGACATTTTTCCTATTCAGAAATAAGTAACTATTAATCTGTTGCCTATTTAAAACTTGGGAGTTTTGAACACTCATCCTTTTGGTTTGTGGGTCATTATGACTTCTTTGTTAAAAAATAAATGATCCCAGTCAAAAGGACTGTGATAGTAAGATTGCTACCAGTAACCACAAGCCTGGCACTCAGCTTCCTGGTAACATCACGTCCTGACTGGCACTCCTCTTCCCTGGTAATCAGCCCCCACCCCCCCCAGGACGTGAAATCAGCGGTGGGCTGTAGTAGCATCTTGTCTTGCCAGTAAACTTGTAGTGGAGGCCACACCCTTTGGGCGTGGTTTCCAGTGCAGACGTGACCCATTATAAGGTAGAGTAGGGGCTGGCTCATTTCCTCTTGGGTTAAGGAAAGCATCAGAAGGGCAGAGACTGCATCTTCTAGAGCAGGAAGACAGCGGCTGTTATTTACTCTTGTCTGTGTAAGTGCTTCCCTAATAAACACCTATTATCATTTATCTTGGGTCTGGTGAACTCATTTAAACCCCGCCTTCAGTGGACTCTGACTTCCCTGTGTGATCCTGTAGAATCTCTGGTTTTTCAACATCAAGGTGCTTAAAAGTGATTACATTTTCCATGTCTGATTCCATTTTTAAACTTAACTTTGCCAGCTACCTATAAATAATATCCCCAACTCAAATCAATTGCAAACAGTTTGGCTCTGGGTGAGAGACTGGCTCACTTTACTTTTATATTTCTTGCACACTGTGCTATGTTTGTCTCCTTGTAGGTAGTAAATTTGTTAATTCTTAGATATGTTGTTTTTTTTTCTTTCCCAGAATTTTGAGGAACCTTTAGAGTAGAACTCAGGAACTAAAAGTTAGAATGCATTTGTGACTTTAGTTACCATGGTATTTGAACTTTAAAAGCCACTATCTTATTGAATCATCTCACCCCATTTTATACCTGAAGACACCAAGACTCAAATATATTAACTGACTCTGTAGGAAGGCAGCATCTTGGTCTGTGGGTCTCCACAGCTATTTCCTTTGTTATCTCATGCCATTATTGGTTACAGTAGTCAATGTCATAATGAAAAGATGCTGACACACCTCTCTGCAAGAGGGACTTGTCAGGTCTGTGGCAGCTATTTCCCTCATTTGTCCATCTGATCTCAGAAAGAGCCAGGCTTCCCAGAAGGTATCACACACATTGACTCATTCTCTCTGGAGTGCCAAGCAAAGGTCTCTAGTTCAGGAAGATCAAATAGCATTACAAAAAATAATGTTTATACCAATTATTTGAAATTGTAGGCTCATCAAATTGTGAACATGGGAAGAGGGGGGAGAAAGCTACGAGAGTGAGAAGGGAAGAAAAGGAAGGATGCAGAGGTCATGAGGAAGCAGAAATTTTGAGTCAGGTGTAGATTAGAAGAAAGGACATATGACAGGTAGGATTTTAGTTGGGGGGGTGGTAGAGGAGGAAGGGAGGGAGAAGGGAACTGGGATCATCATGTAATTCAATCTTGTTTGTAATTCAAATATATTAAAAATAAATAAAAAAGAAATTGTAGGCTCCTATCACACAGGAGTTTGTAGGGTTTTAACAATAGTGTCAGCAAGTGATGTTGCTTCCCGGGTGCATTCTGCCTGTTAGACCCCGTTCTCAGCCCTTTAAGTGTAATTTTCATTCGTCTTCGTCATATAGAGGAGAGGTTGCTATTCCTCAAGTTCACAAAGGAAGAGAAAGAGGCAAAGAAAAGTTAAGCAGCTTGAATAATGTAGCTACTACGTGGTAGAGCCAGAGCTAAGTCCAGGCGTTTGAAGCTCCTTAACCAGTGCCGTACTGCATATGCGGTATACATTGCCTATGGGTTCCAAATGGGCAAGGAGCACTTCCAGGAGGGTAAACAATTTGTCTAAGGTCATAATTTGTCTAAGGCTCCTTGCACGAGGGAGGCTGGACCAGAACATAGTCCTTTTCCCAGTCTTCTGTCTTGTCCTTAAAGATCTTCTTTTAATTTGATTATTTGTGGCACTAAGGAATCTCCAAATGCAGGCAGCATCTCAGTGAGTTCAAGGCCAGGCTGGTCTACAAAGAAAGTTCCAGGACAGCCAGGACTGTTATACAGAAAAACCCCATCTCAAAAACAAACAAACAAACAAAAACAAAAACAAAACAAAAAAGAAAATCTCCAAATGCTTCCCTAAGAGTTGCATATTTATACTTCCAGCCTCTCTCTGCAGTCAAAAGCAAGCTGACGCCTAGGGCAGCTGGATTTGATGAGTGGCTCCAGAGCGCTTCTTTCTCTGCCTGGTTACTTTCATGTCTGTTGTTCATTTGCTTGCTCTCCTTCCATTTGGCTTTTTGATTTGGATGATAGCTATCTTCATAGAGAGCCCTAGCCTTTCCAGTCCTGGAATATGTATCCCAAAGGATGAGGGTTTTAGAGAAAGGTAAATTTGAAATAGTCTAGTTTCTAGACCCAATTGCTGGCTTTTGGTAAATTTTTATCTTAAAGATCATTTGGCTTGCTGGACAAGGGGTATTTTGAATGAAAGAGGCAAGGATGGCAGGAATCCCCTGATGTTGGCACTGGGAAGTACTTCCCAGAGTGTTTGTTCCAGCACCCTTAGAGATGAAGAAGTGGCAGTGCACAGAGGCACAGTGATCAACCCAGAATCGCTGAATGCTCTTGTTACTGCCCTTACAGTCTACACCTCGGAAAGAGGCTGAATGATACAGAAAGGTGAGAGGCAAGCTTAGGATGTTGCTAGCCAGAGACTGTACCAAAGGCTTCATGCCTGCAGGAATATAGTCAGCCCCAGTTTGGTTCTGAAGGTCAAAATATATTATAATAGGTATACCAATCTTTAGTGTATCTGGATAAAAATGGTGTTTTCTCCCAGTTCATTGCTTTAGCACCTGAGAATGGATTATACACAAGTACCAGAAACCTATTTCTTAGAGTTATAAGGTTGGAAGTTCAAATTCACAGGGCTAGCAGGTTTGGAGACTGGGAATCTTTGTTTCCTTACTTCTTTATCCCCCAGAAAGAACATACCCCAGAAATTTCTTGTTCTCACTGGGAAGAAGGGATAGAAGGGGAGGGACCCACCTCTTCCAACTTTTCTATAAAGGTGTTAAGTCACTTCCTAAAGACACAAATTATTATTATTGTCTCCTTGGTGAGTGATTACATGTAATACAAAAAATTTGGAGGGTGTGTGTAGATGTGTATTTATATTTTCAGGCCATAATACATGGCCAAGAAGTGAATAGAATAAAACAAAGTTTGGAGCAATTTGCCACAGACAAGAGACCTTATAGTGTAGTTGTTAAAAATTTGGTTTGTGAAATACATTGCATGTATGAAAATGTTCTAATAAAATCCATCATTTTGTATAATGAATATCCATTAATTGAAATTAGATAAAAAATGACAGAAGCACAAGACCGCATTCTCTCAGGTGAATTTTCTGATTTAAACTTATCCTTTTTCCATCCCAGACCAGGAACCATCACTCTGCAGGCGCCTTCTGAAGCCAATAGAAGGCTATGGATGGAAGCCATGGATGGGAAAGAACCTGTAAGTAACCTCAGACTCAGACTCTCCCCGCTCCGTGTGTGTGTGTGTATGTGTGTGTGTGTGTGTGTGTGTGTGTGAGAGAAGAGAGAGAGAGAGAGAGAGAGAGAGAGAAACCTCAGAGAGAGAGAGAGAGAGAGAGAGAGAGAGAGAGAGAGAGAGAGAGAAACCTCAGTAGCTTAGGTCAGTGTTTGAGTGCCCTCTAGTGGTTCCATTGGGGAAATGGTCATAGATTAGTCAGATTCTAAATCTTAGAGCTAGAAGGAATTGTTTGTTACTCCTGATGTCTTGTTTAATCCAACTTGCGTTCTAGAGGTGAGGGACTTCCCTAGGACTTGTCTATGATTGCCTCCAGAGAAGGCACCAAGACTCCCTGCTTCAGTATTACACTCTGTAGCTATTCCCACAAATTCTTAAGAATGAAAAACAATCCCTCTTCCTACTATAGAATTGATTTGTCCATATAGAAGGGTGGAAAGTAATTGTCGTGGATGTAAGTAAGCCTCCATTTAGCATTCATTTAAAATGAATTTTCTAACCTCTATTGCACCACAAACTCAGTTTGTTCTCTTGCAGAATTCAGTGTTAGGCAGTTAGAGAGAAAAGTTCCCTAGAAGAGTCCTGTACAGATTTAGATGTAGAACAATAAAAGCATAAATCATTGGAAAGCACTGTCTCTTCAACATCTTTCTAGTAGTTTCTTTTGGTGGCATAGAACGTAACATGAGCTTTGTGGGGTTTGAAATACAAATGCCTGGTCCTGGCTTTGTTGTTACATGGTGAGGACTTGAGCAAGTTATTTTACTCCCTGTCCCTCAATTTTCTTCTTCTTAATGAAATGGTTTTTTTAAATCATTTCTATTCTATGTATCTCCAAGGATTACTTTTAACAATCAAGTGAAAACCATCCTACAAACAGTAGAGTGCTTCATTAGTTTTGGGTCCTCCTCCCTGGTTGGAAGGACAACTGTAGGCCTATTAGAGTAACATCTCCTTGCTCTCTTAAAGGGAAAAGCTGAAAAGCTAGCCTGTTGAAGGAAACATATGCTTCCTTTGTGTCTTCGATTCTCTGTGAAGGAAAGAGGTGTAATCAGAGCCAATGAGATGACTTAGTGGGTAAAGGTGCCTGTCATCAAGCCTGGGACCTCCTGGGATCAAATGTCTAGTGCCTACATGGTGAAAGGGGAGAACTGACTCCTATAAGTTGTCCTATGACATGCACACCCATCCCCTAACAAAATAAGAATATAAGTGGAAAAATTAAGAGTGTAGTAGCCATCTCTGAGATTGCATCTGTGGTAGCTAGAAGTAGAATGAGGGTCACTTCCCGGAAACCTGAAGCTTGGCCCTTCGATGCCTGTGGTGTTTCTCTAGGGGAATGCTAAGAGCAAGGCCTTTATATGTCCACTCCCTTTCCTGCACTTGGTCTCCCTGTAGGCTTTTGAAGATTAGAAGATATTTGTGTGGAGAATGATTCTAAAGCATAGATGCCCTGAATATGCAGCCTCACCAGCTTGATTGCCGCTGACTTCCTTAAGCTCTTGTTTATAAAAGTCGCAGCAAATGCGGCACAATGCAGAAATGCTTCTCACTGAAATATTCCTGAGAATGCTGACATATAGAGCACGTTTCCTTTGAAAAGGAGAGGCTGGAGTTAATTCCCTCAGCCTCACCCCATTAGTATTGTTGCTTCATTAAACACCAAATCCACTGATCATATGTGTCAGGTGTATGCCTCTGCTTCAACCATCCCAGAGGATCTTGAGGAAACAGCAGTTCCAACCCTGACCATTGTATTGATGGGAAATATGAAATTTAGAGAATGGGAAGGACATATCCAGTCTCCTAATGACATATGGGCACAAGCAAGACCAGTCTCAAAGAAGCCCAAATCTCCATCCTGGCCTTGTACATAGTAATTAGAGTATACACTTCAAGATGACTCTGAGACATTAACCAGTCTCCTTCAGCAGAACTCTTGCCTTTCCAAAGAGAGACATCCATTATCTATTTTACTGTCAATGCCCATTACCTGTTGTCCTTGAGAAAACCACTTCCTTTTATTATGTCTTGTTCCACCACTGAAATGCTCTAAGCTTTACCTAAGGAAATGTCTGAGGGTCTTCACCTATGTGAACTATGTGAACATCTACTACAGTTTTCAGGGACTGTGTTTTTAGGGATCTGGGCAAAGATAATTGTTTCACCTCCTTTCTTTTGTTGTTAAGAGCTCTAGCATCGCTTTGATAGTCTATCTAGGGAATGAAATTTAATCCTGGGTGCCCTGCTTATCGGTAGTGAGTCACGGTAACTGAGCCTGTTTTGGTTTCTCTTCTTTTGTAGATCTACCACAGCCCTATAACAAAACAGGAAGAAAGTAAGTAATTCAATTTTATACTCTCCTGACATTATAGGTGCAAAGCTGTCCCAGTGATGAAAGTAAATGCTAATATTGGTGACATGTACCATTCATGAAAAATCTGTGTAAAATGAAATCCAGCCCTTATTTGAAACTGTGTATTGATTGAACTAGGGAAGTCACTCCATTGAAACTTACAGTGTGAACGGTACTAAGGATGCAGAGAATATATTATCTCTTCATTGTTCTAGACAGGTGATCAAAATTGTGTGTATTTCCATAGTAGCATTTCCTATTTGATATTGCTCATGTTTAGGGTAGATGTGATATAAAGGGCTAAATGGAAATGTTTTGTGTTATAAAAGTCTAAACCTACCCCGAGCATGGCATCATTCAATCTGAGCTGAGTGGAGATGCGCAGCAGCCCTACCAATACTCTTAACACAGTCCCTTCCTGTGACTCTTGAATGTTGGGTAGGAACTTCTTATTATGATATGAACTAACTCTCCTTTCCTTTCCTCGAAACAGTGGAGCTGAATGAAGTGGGGTTCAAGTTTGTTAGGAAGTGCATCAATTTTATTGAGACCAAAGGTAAGAACTAAACCATCACCTTGAAATGGTTGAATTCAGCCACTCTGCTTTTATCCTAAGGAACCTTCTCTAAAGTAAGCATGACATTATCTGTTAGTCAGGACCTGTCTGTAGGATGGCAACTTTTTTTTTTTTTATAAATCTCGTGTTTACCAATAATTTAACTGGTGTTTGGACTGGGAAAAAGGGAGCTTAAAAATGAGGCTGAAGTCTGAAGTCTCATGCAATAGCTGACTTTATCCAGAGCCTCAGACAGTTTGCACTCTAAGGGTTAAGAAAAGTCACATTAGTAAAGAATACAATCACAAGGACAAACCACACTTGGCAAAACCATGTTTTTCCAAAGAGGCATATAAATAAATGACAATAGCCAGTTGTAATGAATAATCTCAAGTAGACTCACTCCTATCTACTACACACGGGAGGGGCATAAAAATGTAATCCAAGGACAGTTCTGTGTTATTGAAGATACTGAGGTCACAAGACTCCTGTTTTCTTGGCATTTTCTCACAAGCACTCAGAATTCCCCTAGCACAGCTCCATTTCTGGACTGTATTTCCACAGCTTGTATAGTGGACACATTTGTTTAAATTTAAGCCAGTTCTAAATTGGCTACCATCATAGCATTCCTCATCCAAGCATATATGTATAGTTTGTGTTCCCACTTTTAGAGAGGAAAACCTTGCAATCATTTGCAGTGCATTCTGAAATAGCACCTAGTGTTCCTCAAGTAGTGATAGTTCTATCTCAATTGACCAAGAGCTCAGCTTCTACCACAGTATCATTTTATTGTCAATTTAAAAGTTGATGGGGCCAAATCTAAACTCGGGGATACATAGAATCAACATGTTTCTTCATGAACCAAAGGTCTTTGTTTCCTTCTGAGGATAATTAGAATGCAGGTGGCTGGGGTGAATGAATCACTCTGTTTTCTCTGAAACTTTGCTTCAGCCTTTCTCAGCACAAAAATGGACTTTTGTTTCACATCTTCCATATCCCAACCCTTTCCTCCTTTATATCACAGCTTGAGAGCAAAACTAGGGCAGGGGGTAGGTATTACCTCCTTGTCTTTTAATTGCTAGTTCCCTTTCAACATGGCCGACTGTTCTCATCTACCTATTGTGACTCACTGAAACACATGTCTTTTTTTTTTTTTTACTATAGAGTGTATTCTCCTCCCTTCAGATTAATAGAGGATATGTGTAATCCAGTGGAGTTGTCATGAATCATTTTTGGATATGATTAGGATGGTAGGACTGTTCCTCTGCAACAGGGGAAGGCTGGAGAACTAGAAGCGAGAAGGAGGTCTCTTTGTCTTTAACTGACACCAGGATACAAGGGCTTCCTTTCTCTGTCCTGGGGAACATAAAAGCTGGAGCTATCCTAATGAAGATGATCTGGTTTTCTTTTCCTAGGGATCAAGACAGAAGGGTTGTACCGCACGGTGGGCAGCAACATCCAGGTTCAGAAGCTGCTTAATGCCTTTTTTGGTAACAATTTTGCATATTTTTAAATTGGGAGTGGTTTATATAGAAACAAATGTGACTAGAAGAAAAAGAACACATTTCTCAGGAAGGTCGAAGAACATTTTAAATTTGTGTTGTAGTCTAGTTTTTATTGCTCAGGCTATTCTCAAACTCCTAGACTCCTACAATCATCCTGCCTCAACCTCACAAGTGTTGCCATACCTGGCCTCTACAGGTATATTATAAAACTGTTTTCAGAGGTGAAACAGACAAATATTGTGCACAACTTTAGTCAGAGACCATTGTGCATTGAATAAACCTCTGTCAACTCTCATCCCACTCACTAGTCAGGCCCTAGTAAATCCAGTTCTACCACCACCTCTTTGCTGGAACTTCTCTGGTCATGATGATCATGTGTGTGCTTGCCAAATGCAAGGAGCACTCCAATCCGTTTTACTTGCTCTCCTGGTTGAACACTGTCTCCTTCCTGGGAACTGTCTCCTTTCTTGACTCCCAGGATACAATACTCCACACATTCTTTTAACATTTAGTGCTGCTGTTTTGTCAGAGACTCTTCCTGGATCCAGTTTCCCCTCCTACCTTTTAAAGTTTTAAAGGCATTTCCCAGAGTTCTGTCTTGGCATGCCTTTACTTTTTCCTCTACTGAGTGATATTTATCCTGGATATGGGTTGCATTTTCCTTTTAAAAGTGTGTGTGTGTGTGTGTGTGTGTGTGTGTGTGTGTGTGTGTGTGTGTGTGGGTGTGTCTTGTGTGGTGATTTTTTGTGGGTCATCTTTACTGGATGTCTACTGTTAGGACTTACTGAATGTCTTATTTTCATTGAGTAAAAGAACTATTGAGGTGGGTTTTTTTTGGGGTTGTGTGTGTTTTGGGATTTTTGTTGTTTTTTGTAGGTAATTATCAATTCAAGATTTTTTTTGTAAGTTTGTTAGACCACACAAAGTATTCTCTACTGGCTTGTCTAGACTTGCTAGTAGTCTTGACTTCTCTTGTGTCTTCATTCTTAATGACTAGAACATACATTTGGGGCTGGAGACAGAGCTCAGTGGGTAAATCAGTTGCCGTGCAAGCCTAAGGACTTGAGTCTGAGTCCCCAGAACTTGTGTAAAATCCAGATAAGATAGAGAGCATCTAAATACCCATGATCCTGTGGCAGAATGGATAATGGAGACAGGAGAATTCCTGGAGGCTTGCTGGCCAGCTGGCCTAGCCATGTCTCAGAGAAGAAGAGAGTGTCTCCAAAAGTTTAGATGGTGAGGAACTGCATCAGAGAGTGTCCCCTGACCTCCACTTTCCAGCCATGGCATGCACAATCCTCCACTCAGGCACAGACATACATGCATGCACACACACCCATTATACAAACTACGTATATACATATTATACACACACACACAAATGTCCACTAGCTCTGTGAATTCTTGGCATTTTACAGCAAAACACTCTGTTAGTTTTTGCCTAGCCTGTGGAGTTCCACCCTTTCTTTATTATTTATATAACGCTTTGTATTTAGCCACTGAGGCAAGGGGATCCTTAGACAGGTTTTGGCCACTGCTTTCTCTACATAAATTCTTCTTCTTTCATACTATGCTGTGTACATTCATTTTTTTCTTGTAGTGCTGGGGATAGCCGTGAGGACTTTATGCATTCTAGAAGAATCTTCTACCACTAAGGACCATCCTCAGCCCATGCTTTGGAAATTCTAGCTAAGCTTCTCAGAAGGTGTTTTCCCCCTTCTGGTCTTTTCAGACGTTAGCTAACTAAAGGGAGATTTCTAATTCCCTTTGTTATCCAGAGAATATTTTCAGATAGCATGCTGTGGTGAAGGCAGGGCTTTCCTTTCAGTGCCCATTTTGTCAGTCAGAGCCCTGTGCTGTCTATTCAGTGGCTAAAAGTAGTAGCCTTATATGGCTTGTCTTCTAATTGTTACAGAAAAACAACAAATCTTGTGCCAGTTGTCCTACTGTGCCTGGGAGTGAACATTTTTCTATGTGTTGGGTACCAGCACCTATGTGCTGCAATCTCAGAATTTCCATTCCAGACACCTGAGTTCTAATAATACATATGCTGCCAATTAAGCTCATGCTTCTCAGTCTTCCTTTGGTCCTGTCACACTGGAGAATGTGTGCAGACTATCATCATTGTGTCTGTGTAGCACACTGGGAATAACCAAGGCAGCAAGCTGTAAAGCTCAAGGAATCAACACTAGACCCTCTGCAGAAGCTCCCTGTATAGATGGTCCACAGGTGCCCATGTTTTCTGTGACTAAGATGAAACTCACCGTTTTTGTTCACTGTAAGCCACTCATCTTCCTTTTGTGAGTGATGATAAGATATCTGGTAAGCTTAGATTCTTACAGAGAGTCAGAGAAGAAAGTGTGTGGAAAGCTGAAGCTTGGATAAAGTGCATAGTTTTCAGATTTCCTTTAAATATGGCCAAGGGGAATGTGGCATCCAGGTAAAACTGAGATTGTCAATCAGGTGACCTTGACAAGGAATTTTCCCTGATTATCCTGGAAGACTCTAATTCACGGGGGCTTTAACATGGGAGAGGAATTCAGGAAAGAGAGCACCAGAGAGATAACACATGAATATTCAGCCCAATGCTTTCAGAAGACAAGGAGCTGAAAAGGAAGAGCTGCAAAAGCCAAGGAATAAGGTTTTCTCTCTAGAAGTTGCAGTACTGCTACAAGTCACTGTTAGCTCCATTTACTTATACTGTTTTTAAGAGACCCTTTGCACTTAATTTGTTGACTTCATTCCCATGGGCTCTCATTATAGCTATTATCACTTAATTTGTTGACTTTGTTCCCATGGGCTCTCATTATAACTATTATCCATGAATTTTTTTTTCAGTGTAATGTTGTAAAACTGCTTTAGCCTCAAATCAGTTTCTTTATGTAATCAGCTAAACTGCCTGAAATTATTGGCACATACAGCAACCATTATATCCCTAGTTTTATTAGTGCACTAACCCTATGTATGGCTTCATAAAAATGAAAATGTCATTCTGCTTTATTCTCCATAGAGTAGGAAATGCCTGTGTGGCTGAGCAGAGCCTTGCAATTCACTTTGCTCTATCACAGTGTATATGAATATATATTTTCAAGTCATATATTTAAAAGAAATGTTGAGATGAAAATTTTCAATAATACACAAGGGAGACCATTTTGTCTCCTACTGGCTACTGACTTAGGTCTGGGAAAAAACAATGCTGATTATTCTGTAACAATTGGTTTTTAGGCAACTGGAATTCTACAATATGGGATGCTGTTCTGTGATCCCAGTCTGGGAGTGACATTTCATCACAGGTCTCTATCCTGGAAGACTGGACTTTCCCCCATGGCTTTCCCTTTCTGTTCTAAGGACTTAAATTTGTGAAATTGTCTAGCTCAGAAATTAGAATAGGGGCAGTGCTTTATACAGAACAAAGAATCTAGGGAAAGAAACCTGCTTCTTGAGTGTAAGACACAATTGAACATGCTTGTGACATGTTGGAATTACCAGGGAATAGAGGAATCTAAAGCCTTGATGCAGTAGATTATTAGCAATTGCCAATGTTATTCACATGAAAGTCATTCATCTTCAGTAATTATAAATGATCTGCTATTTCATTTATTTGTAGATATTTCCTCAACTCAGTTCATTTTTTTCTTTATATTTTTATTTTTGAGACTGTAATTTAATTCCAACCCTTTTCCCTTTCTTCCTTAAACCCTCCCATATGGCCATCCTCACTCTTCAAAATCACGATTGCTTTTGCATCAATTGTTATTGCATACACATATGTATTTGTCTATACACATATATTCCTAAATGTAATCTGTTAAGTCCACATAATGTTACTTATATGTATGTTTTCAGGCCTGACCATTTGGCACTGGACAACCAATTGTTGTGCTCTTCCCTCAGGAGACTCACTCTTCCCACTCCCAAATTTACTCACTTGCCTGTAGCTTATAGTAGGTTTGGAGGTCTCATGGGCTTTTCCCCATCTGTTTTGGCACGTTCATTGTTATCCTCCTTGTTAAGGTCATGTTTGGGCAGCCATGTTGATGAGACTTTATAGATGTAGCTTCAGATATTACAAGGAGACACAATCTCACAGTAAAGTCTCTAATCATCTGGCTCTTAAAATCCTTTTGCTCCCTCTTCTACAATGTTCTGTAGGGACTGGGCTTCACATCTGCATTTTGATTGGTTGTAATTTTCTGTAGCAGTCTCGTTGCGTTGCAAAGAGAAATTTTCTTGATGGAGATGATGACTGCACTTACCTGTAGTTATTAGGACAAATGTTTATATATTGCTCTTAGGGGTCATACTGGTTTGGTACATTAGTGGTTGTGAATGCTCTTGTAATAACCTTGATTTCATTAGCACTGAGTAATTAAGTTTCTAGTACCAGATATTGTATCCCTCTTGTGGAGCAGGTGTTAGGTACAATTAGAGAGCAGTTGGTCACCACCAAGGTATGTTATCTGTGGAGTAAGATGATGAGTCCTTTGGGTATATGACAAAGAGTGCTATAGCTTTCACCCTCTTTCTTTTGATATCTTGGAGTCCCTAGATTTTCTATTTGAAGCCACTGCATGCAGATGAACTATTCTAGAACATACCCTGCGTATTATTGAGTATCTTTATATACCAGCTACTGTGTTGGGTAGTGGGGATATAGTAGTGAAAGAGGCAGACAAATCTCTGTCCTCAGTGAGCTTAGAACCTAAAAGCACTTATGGGTCATAGATGACCTTATCATTTCCTCTCAAAATAAATACTATCCCAGTTCTAGGATCCTGTTGATCTGCATTAGTAAGACTCAGGTTATAAAATCATATAGGTAGGGTGGCCATGGTGGCTTATTTGGTATATTGATTATATATGACGGTATATATTTCTATCCCAGCTTGGGCTACAGCAGACCCTGTCTCACAAACTACAGATGGCAACAACAACAACAACAACAACAACAACAACAACAACAACAACAACAACAAGAAACATTA